ATAATTTTAGGTTTATAGGAGTGTTGCAGAGACAGTACTGAGGGTTCCCTTATACACTTTGCCCAACTTCTAATGCAGTGGCTTTCAATTATGGGTAATTCTGCCCCCAAAGGATCTTATACAATGTCTAGATATATTTTTGGTTGTCACATCTTGCGGCACAGAGGGTGCTACTGGTGGGTAGAAGCCAGGGATGCTACTAAACATCCTGCAATGCACCAGACAGCCCCTCCCCCCACCAACAAAGACTTACCTATTCCAAAGTATCAGTAATGCTGAGGTCAGGAAACTGCTCTCATGTTTACGGCTTAAATAAGCATGTTACATTGATCAAAACTAAGAAAGTAACATTGGCATCGGTGTACTGTTAACTAAATTACAGATTTGACTTGGATTCTGCATTTTTCCATTAATGTTCTTTTTCTGCTCCGGGATCCCATCAGGGTACTACATTACATTTATAGTTGCCATATCTCCTGAGGCTCCTCCATCTGTGATGGTTTCTTGTTCTATCCTTGTCTTTCAGGATCTTGACAGGTTTTTTGTTTTGTTTTGTTTTTTGTTTTGTTTTGTTTTTGAGATGGAGTCTCACTCTGTCTCCCAGGCTGGAGTGCAGTGGCGCAATCTTGGCTCACTGCAAGCTCTGCCTCCTGGATTCATGCCATTCTCCTGCCTCAGCCTCCCAAGTAGCTGGGACTACAGGCGCCTGCCACCACGCCCGGCTTAGTTTTTGTATTTTTAGTAGAGACGGAGTTTCACCATGTTAGCCAGTACAGTCTCCATCTCCTGACCTCGTGATCTGCCTACCTCGACCTCCCAAAGTGCTGGGATTACAGGCGTGAGCCACCGTGCCCGGCCTGTTTTGTTTTGTTTTGTTTTTGTGACAGGGTCTCGCTCTGTCACCCAGGCTGGAGTGCAGTGGTGCGATCTTAGCTCCCTGCAACCTCTGCCTTCTGGGTTCAAGTGATCCTCCCACCTCACCCTCCTGAGTATCTGGGACTACAGGTGCGTGCTACTATGCCTGGCTAAGGTTTGTATTTTTTGTAGAGATGGGATTTCACCATGTTGCCTAGGCTGGTCTCGAACTCATGGATTCAAGCAATCTGCCTGCCTTGGCCTCCCAAAGTGCTGGGATCACAGGTGTTAGCCTCTGTGCCTGGCTGACTTGTAGTTTTCTGAAGACTTGTGATGTTGAGAATTTTTTCTTGTATTTCTTGGCTGTCTGTACATTTTGTTTTGTGAAGTTGTTAAAATCTTTTGCTTTTTAAAAGAATAAAACAACTGTATTGAGATTTAGTTTACGTGTCATCCATTTCACCACTTTAAAGCGTACAAGTTGATGATTTGTAGTATATTCACAGAGTTGTGCAACATTGCCACAATGAATTTTAAAACATTTTTATCACCTCAGTAAGAAACGTGGTTCCCATTAGCAACCACTACCCATTCCTCTCCAATCTCCCAGCCCTAGGCAACCACTCATCTACTTTGTGTCTTTATTGATTTGCCTATTCCAGGCATTTTATAGAAATGTAATCATACAGTATGTCGTCTTTTGTGACTGACTTGGTTCACTTAGCATGCTGTTTTCAGTATTCATCCATGTTTCACTTGAGCCCAGGAGTTCAAGGCTACAGCGAGCTATGATCATGCCACTGCATTCTAGCCTGGGTGACAAGAGTGAGACCCTGGGTTTCAAAAAAAAAAAAAAAAAGCCACATCAGTATCCTCATTCCTTTAATAATATTCCATTGAATGGATACATAGTATTTTGATTATTCACTCATCAGTTGACAGATACTTAGGTTGTTTCCATCTTTTGGTTATTAGTATTAATGTGCTGAGCTCATTTATGAACACATATTCTTTTAATTGGGCTGTTTGTCTGCTTATTACTGAGTTATAAGAGTACAAGGATTGCTGGGCATGGTGGCTCAGGCTTGTAATCCCAGCACTTTGGGAGGCCGAGGTGGGCAGATCACGAGGTCAGGAGATCGAGACCATCCTGGCTGACACGGTGAAACCCCATCTCTACTAAAAATACAAAAAATTAGCCCAGTGTGGTGGTGGGTGCCTGTAGTCCCAGCTACTCGGGAGGCTGAGGCAGGAGAATGGTGTGAACTCGGGAGGCGGAGCTTGCAGTGAGCCAAGATCATGCCACTACACTTCTAGCCTGGATGACGGAGTGAGACTCCATCTCGTAAAAAGAGTACAAGGATTATTTATATATTCTGGATTCCAGTTTTGGTCAGATATTTTCTCCAGTCTGTGGCTCATCATTTTTATTTTCCCAATGGTGTGGTTTAGGGAGCAAAGTTTTAAATTTTGATGAAGTCAAATTTATCAATTTTTTTCTTTTATGGTTTGTATACTTTGCTCCTCAGAAATCTTTGTCTAACCTAAGATCACAAAGATTTTCTTTTCTCTTCAAGAAATTTTATGTTTTAGTTCTTACATTAGATCTGTGGGTCCATTTTGAATTAATTTTGGTTTATGCTGTGAAATAAGAGTCAATGTTCTTTTTTCCCCCTATATGACTATTTATTCTAGCACCACTTTTTGATGACTTTTCCTGTTCACCTTTTTTTAAAAAAAAATCACTAGATATATGCGTGGGTTTGTTTCTGGACTTTGACATTGACTTTTTTCTATTTCTTCTTGCAGTTATATTGCTTTTTGCTGCATGTATTTTGAAACTGTTATTAGGCATATAAACATTTGAGATAATTATGTCTTCTTCATGAGTTTACCCCTTTATCATTATGAAATGACCTGTTTTTCCTTGGTGATATTCTTTGCTCCAAAATCTGTTTTGTCTGATATTAATATAGCTACTCCAGCTTTCTTTGGACTATTGTTAGCATAATATATTCTTTTTTAATTATTTATTTGCATCTGTATATTTAACATGTGTTTCTTATACGTAATATGTAGTTGGGTCTTGTTTTTTTTTTTAATCCATTCTTTTAATCTTGTTCTAATTGGAATGTTTAGACCATTTACATTTAATGTAATTACTGATACAGTTAGGTTTAAGTATATCATCTTGCTGTTTTCTATTTGCCACATCTATTTTGTTCCCTTTTTGTTCTTTATCTGCTTTCTCTTGAGTTAATTGAACTTCTTTATGATTTTAGTTTGTTTTTTAAATAGTTCATTAGTTATAATTCACTGTTTTTTTATTTTAGTGGTTGCCTTAGCATTTATAGTATGTATATTTAACTTATCATTATCATGGCCTACTTTCCAGTGGTTTTTTTTTTTTTTTTTGAGATGGAGTCTCGCTCTGTCGCCCAGGCTGAAGTGCAGTGGTGCAATCTCGGCTCACTGCAAGCTCCGCCTCCCAGGTTCATGCCATTCTCCTGCCTCAGCTTCCTGAGTAGCTGGGACTACAGGCGCCCGTCACCACGCCCGGCTAATTTTTTTGCATTTTTACTAGAGATGGGGTTTCACCATGTTAGCTAGGATGGTCTCGATCTCCTGACCTCGTGATCCACCCACCTCAGCCTCCCAAAGTGCTGGGATTACAGGCATGAGCCACCGCGCCGGCCCTTCCGGTGGTATTTTACCACTTCATGTATAGTGTAAGGACCTTATCATAGTATGCCTTCATTTCCCCTTTCCTGGTCTTTATGTTGTTTTCGTCATGCATTTTATTATATACATGTTGTAAATCCACAATAATAATAAAGTGTTATTTTTAACTTAAATAGTCAATTATTTCTTAAAGAGATTTAAATAATAACAAAAATTTATATATCTATGCATGTAGTTATCACTTCTGGTGTTCTTTATTCCTTTCTGCAGATTCACATTTCCATCGGATTTTCTTTATCATTTCTTATAGTTCAGATCTGCTGGTGATAGATTTTTTGAATGTCTAAGAGAGTCTTTATTCATTTTTAATTTCCTGTCTTTGGATGGTCCACAGTTCACAATGGCCTCCTGGACTTGTGGGTCCACTCTTTGGGGAAGGCCCCGCACCTTAGGGTACCCCCGCTCCTGGCCTGCTCCACTGATCAGTATACTGATGGAATTAGCTGTTGCAGAGATCTTGACGTTTCTCCTCAGTAGGCCTTCTGTAGCTCTAGCTCAGATCATGCTTATGATGGGACATCGTCACTTGGTCCTGCAATGACAATCACATTATCTCCCCCCATGGCTAGAGCTTCCTCTGTGTAGAATGCCATAGTGCACGTCATTTGTCTGTTGCTTGCCATCTTGTGGTGGGACTTTTCTGAGTTGAGTCTCGGCCTGTTCCTCAGTCTGGGGCTGATTTAACTGTTCTCCTGTACATTGCTCAGGCCAGTGGACTGCAGTGATTTCTCTTTCCTTTTGGTAGCTGCCACTTCTGACTCTATCTTGGTTCTCTTGACCAGTTCTGCCTATAGAGGGATGCAGTCTCCCCACCTCCTCCTTTCCTTACTCCCCTCAAAATAAACATCTGTAGATCTTTCTCATTTTACAGATTTTGTGGTTAATCAGCACAGGGAGATAGGAGAGTAAAAATAATAAATGTGGAGAAATATCTGAATTTAAAAAATTATCTCAAGGCTTTCCAAGAGAATTTCTGTAGAATTTCTAGTCGGCACTTCCTCATTCAGTCATTAAGAGGCCATCAGATGCCTCTTCGGGCCTTTCTTTTCTATATTTATTCGTCCCTTAGTTCCCTTCAACTGTCTTGAGCTTTTATTCCAAGCCTGAGGAGCCAGTCAGAACACAAGAAAAAGGTTTTCCCTTATTCTTAAGTGGACATTTTCAAACTCTGATGACTACCTGACTAGAAGATGCAGGCCTCCTTTCCTGTAGGACTGTGGACCACACTGGAATGGCCATCGCTGGGCATTCCCGGGTAGCCTCCGTTCTCCTTCTGAACACAGGTTGCTCACTTTGTCTTGTGTCAAGGTGCATTTACCTGCTGTTAGCACAATGCCTGGAACCTTGTGGTCCTTCAGTCAGTGTGGCCCAAATAACCATATGCATTGTTTTTGTCTCCATAGGCAGATTATTGCCAGAGGGCTGCTTGATATCTTCCGGGACTTCAGTAACAATGAAGAAGACTTCCTAATGGTAATGGAGATTGTAGTCAGATTGTCAGAAGATGCAGGTTTGTATAAGTATTGTGTAATTTAATTTTTTCCTTATAAATTTCTAAGAAATTATGTGTAACCAATAATAGCTAATTTTTAAAAAACCTGTTTGTTAGTCAATAACCTTTAAGCAATTTGTAACCATGAATGGATTTTTTCTTGAAGAATATATATCTTATTTGAATTTTGACTGAAATTTTCTTATATTTAGAAAATTAAAATGATTAATGGCTATGAATGCTATTTGCCTTGACAGTCAGGCCTTTGGTGTTTCTTGAGTTTTGCCAGACTACTGGTTGCTAAGAAATACCAAATCAAAAGAAGCCTCGTGGGTTCAAAAATCCCAGTCATTATTCCCTCAAGGCGAATCTTGATTTTTCTTTCTCATTCTACCTCTCCATGATTGGTATTGTGGAAGAAAAGCACGTTGCTGTACGACAGACACGATGATGTTGTCTTCCCCGCCGCCCCAGTAAGGATGAGTTAGATGAATGTGTGGTGGGGCTGGCCGGTACTGACAGCTGTGCCACAGCCCCCTCCTTCCTGCATTCAGAATGAATGATGAGAAGTTTCAGAAAGTTTCAGGACTCTCCAGGCTTTAGAATTTAATCATTTTAACTGAAAATAGAAAAATAAGTCTTCCGTATAGCTCCCATATTAGTTTAAAATATTCATATGAATATAACACAATGCCTTTAAAAAGGCCCAAGTGGATGTTTTGAGTCTTTAAATGGATTCTCTTTGTAAATGAGTCACCATTTACAGTGCTGTAGCAATTATACATTTGTGTTAAATTTAATGTGGTATATTGGAGCTAGAGCCTCTCTTTTGTTTAATGCTTTGCCTTAGAAATAATTGGGATGCGTGGACTGTGGCTTAGTGCATTTATGAAAGAATTATTTATAATGTATACATTCTGGCTAGAATTTAAATAAGCACAACCCATAGGTCTGGCATATAAGCCATTAGTTGTAATGACTTTTGGATGCTGGCCCAGCATGCAGACTTCTTGCTCCTTCCTCAATTTATATATGGCTTGTTATAATAGAGTTGTCATTCTCTCTTGTTTTTATGTTTTTATATTGCTGTATAGCTCATTAGCTTTTTAAGCCTGTCTGTAGCATAAATACTCTAAACGGGAAATGATTTTTAAACTGCATTTGTCTAATTTCCTTGATGAAGTATTTTAGTAAGAAAAGCTAGAAACTATCAGTATATACTATATAAGATGCCTGGCTTATTCTTAATATAATTTTTTAAAAATTTTTTATTGCTGCAGAGCCCACAGTGCGGACTGAGCTGATGGAACAGATTCCTCCTATTGCCATTTTTTTACAAGAAAACAGATCAGATTTTCCAGTGGTGCTCTCTGAATATCTCATACCTATTGTAGTGAGGTACCTCACAGATCCAAACAATCAGGTTTGAAAAATTATAACCTTAAGGTCTCTTTAGCAAATTCTCTTTAGTCTTGTTTTAGGTGATATTCATACTTCAAAAAACAACTTCTTAGAGTTAAGTGATTTGAGAACAAAAGGTCTATTGGTGTCCAGTTCCTCTAGTCATGTGGGAAGATAGACAGCACTCATTCTTATCGTGAAATATTTCTTTTTTTTCTTTAACCTATGGAAATTTTCGAACACATGTAACAGTAGAGAGAAAATGAAAATGAACGCCCACATGCCCTACACCTAGCATCAACTGTTGTTAACGTTTGACCTGACCGGGCGTGGTGGCTCACGCCTATAATCCCAGCACTTTGGGAGGCTGAAGCAGGTGGATTACCTGAGGTCAGGAGTTTAAGAGCAGCTTGGCCAACTTGGTGAAACCCCATCTCTACTGGAAATACAAAAATTAGCCAGGCAAGGTGGTGCATGCTTGTAGTCCTAGCTACTCGGGAGGCTGAGGCAGCAGAATTGCTTGAACCTGGGAGGCGGAAATTGCAGTGAGCTGAGATCGTGCCACTGCACTCCAGCCTGGGCGACACAGTGAGACTGTCTCAAAAAAAATAAAAACAAAAAAATTTTGATTAATCTTTTTTCCTTTATCTTACCCAGATAAAATCCAATCCAGACAAAAGAATTCACAGACACCATCTCATTTCAGCTGTAAATACTTTTCAGTATTAGTCTCTAAGAAATAGACTCTTTTTAGAAAAACATAATGATAATATCATTAATGCAAATATAAAAATTATCAGTAGTTATCTAACGTCATCTAATACCTAGTCATTGGTCAAATTTCCCAGTTTTCTCGTAAGTGTGTGTTTTTGCGCAGAGGCCGTTCAAACCAGAATACAAACAAAGTCCACACGTTGAATCTAAGTGATATAGGTCTCTTAGATATTTTCAAATTTATGATGTTGCCCCTCCCCACTTTTTTCCCTTGCTATTTATTTGTTGAGGAAGCCAGGTCATTAGTTTTATAGAATTTCCCACATTTGGGATATGGTTTATTGCATCTCTGTAGTGTTGAGATGTTGCTCCACTCCCGGCATTTCTTATAAACTAGTAGCTAAGTTGGAAGCTCAGCCAGACGCAGATTTTTTATTTTAGTGAGAATACTTTGTAGATGGTTTGTGTTTTCCTGTTGTATCAAATCAAGGGCAGAAAAGCTCTGGATGGTTATCTTTTCCTAATGCTGAATTTGGCCACCTTTTCTATAAAGGTGGCCAAACTTCTACAAAGTTCCCCATCATCATATGGGCAAACCATTGGTGATGGTTGCCCTGATCCAGTATCTCATTAGAGGTTGTAAATTCTGACACACTAATTCCAACATTTCTTTTTAGTTTAATAGCTAGAGTTCTTCTGTAAAGACTTCCTCTGTCAACTATTTGATAGACCTGAAAACCTGTTTGAATAGGAAAGACAGAATAAATGCTTTATTTTATCCGTGTATTTACCAGTTTCCAGAATCATCGTTGGCGTTTTGATAATCTACAAAGGTTACCAGTTAGGTTTAAAAATTTTTTCTGAAGTATTGTTAGGATGTCTACGGCCATACCACCCTGAAGGCGCCCCATCTCGTCTGAAGTATTGTTAGGAACTCTTGCATTTTAACATAGTAGTTATGTTTCAAACTGTTATAGTACTTATTCTTTTTTTATTATTATTATACTTTAAGTTGCAGGGTACATATGCACAATGTGCAGGTTTGTTACATATGTATACATGTGCCATGTTGGTTTGCTGCACCCATCAACTTGTCATTTACACTAGGTATTTCTCCTAATGCTATCCAGTACTTATTCTTTTGGATGATCAAGTTGTTCCATCTTTGAGTTGCAGCCCTTCAGGTTGGCTCCAGAATCTTTATCAGCATGACCCAGTAGACGGTGGTAGTGCACCTTGACCTGGGATCAACCATTTCTCCAAGAGCCCAGGTTCCTTTAGGAGGCAAATCATAAGAAAATGGAATGTGGGTACTGGGGGCACTTGTTGCTTCTAGTGACAGAACGATTTTTTTAAAGATAAAAATTCTTCGAGTTTATCTTGATATTTCCAACTCAAACTTAGCATTATAGCGCTTTTACTTCGATTTTATTTGTATCTTTTTTCACTTGCGTGATATAAATCCAACTTCTTGATGATGTTAGCATACATGTGTATGTCTGTGTATCCAAAATAAAAGTCCCAGTATTACTAACAATATGATGGGATTACTGAACATAGCTTAACATTTCTTTGTAATTCCTTTTGTTTTTAGGCCTCGTCCTGCTAGAGGTACCCAGTCATATTCATGTTACTGTCTTTTAAAGTCACTTGCGTTAATCCTTCTCTTTGTGGTTAAGCAACCAACTTGATATATAGTTATTCTCATTTTTTTTTTATTTTTAGGAATTGTTTTAGCTTGTACATTTTGATTTATAATTATTTAAAATGTTTACTTGATTCCAAAGTCAAAACTGTAAAACAAAGCACGTTCAGAGAAGTCTGACTTCTGTCCCTGGCCCCCACTCCTTCTCCCCTCCCCTGTAGGTAACTATTTCTTTTACTTTTTGGTTGGTTTTGATTCTGAAAACACACACACACACGCACACACGCATGCACATACATGTAAACAACTGAGATGATGTTCTTGTGTTCTGCACACCCGTGCCCCTTTCTCGGGTGTGGAGGGCTCCCTCTTCCTGCTGCCCCATGCTGTGTACTCTGTGAGCACCCCGAGAGCAGGCCCCAGCATCTGTGGCATCTTCACTCCTTTCTTTGCAGTGTAGTACCCCACTAGGGGAACAGAGCAGAACTTATTGATGGACATTTGGGCTATTTCCAGTCTTTTGCCACTTTGAAATTGCTGCAGTGAATAGACTTGCATCATTTCTATTTGTGCTAGTGTATTTGGGGTTGGTTTTCCACTAAGGGTAAATTTATTTGATTTTTAATGATACACCATGTTTTCATTATCATTATTTTCAAGAGATTCTAAAATTTTGGGTTGTATTTCTCCCTTGATCCAAGCATTTTAAAAAGAGCAAATCCTCATTTTGAACTGGTAAGCAGTGTGACAGCATCAAGTGGAGTTTTCAGATAAGGAAAAAAGTCCTCTTGTTTCTGCTGTCCTAACATTTGGTATTTTGATGATTTTTGCATTTTCCTCTCTAGGTGCTAACATTCTTTTCCACATAGGTCTAATCATAATGTGATATAGTTTCCCCATTCATTCATTTATTCGGACAGTTTCTTAGTGCTCATTATGAGCCAAGCACAGTGCTTCATGCCTGGGGATGGGGAGCTGAGCAGGACAGATTTTCTGCCCTCAGAAAGCCCCCCGTCACAGACGCGGTAAAACACTCTTTCCTCATAATCGTCATATTTTTAATTTTGTTGAATACTTAAATTTCGTTCAGGTTTCGTGGGGGGGTGTGTGTGCGCTGTAGATGCAGTGAGCGTCAGAAAGGATGCAGTTTTGGATCCGGTAAATATTTCTCTCCTTGGCTTCCAATAATCATGGTTGTACTAACAGTACCAGCCAGTATTCATTTAGTGCATGCCATGTCCTAGACACCATCAGAAGCCTGTCACCCCTTTCATCCTCACAACAAGCTTATGAGATAGATACTATGATTATCCAGTTTTATGGATAGGAAACTGAGGCTGGGAGAGGCCAAGTCACTTGGCCAAGATGACTCATCTAGTCACTTGGAGGATCCAGATGGGGGCTCAGCATTCAGACCCCACAGCTGTAGCCTGTACCCACTGCCGTGTTAGCTCTTGAGCTCCAGGCCTCTTCCCTGCCTCTGCCTGCACTTCTTGTCTGTGTCTTCCCCAGTCTCCATCATTAGCCCGATCCTCTCCTGCCCCTAAGAGTTGCTGTTTCTTCTTTAGGATATTGTCTTTGGTCTCCCTTTCCTTATGGTATCAGGGTTCCCGCCATGGTCTCGTCTGCTACTGTGGCCCTAGGGAGACTCTACACACAACTGAACACTAGACTGCTATCTCTCACCTAGGTCTGTGGAGTCTGTGAATCACTGCCCTCCATTGCCACAGTCCACTGGATGGCTCTGTCTAGATGTCCAGTGAATCCCATAGAGTTTAGAGACTCTAGCGTCCAGCCCTAGTCTCTCTATCCTCTATCTTGCTCTGGCTTCTGTGATTATCCTGGGTAGTCATTCTTAGCTCTCTTTAGCACTGTCTCTCACACCTGCCCTCTTCTTTCTGTCCCCTGCCCTGACATCATGCCTCATGAAAGCCTGTGGTGGCCCAGGAGCCCCTCCCCTGTTCTCTCTTGTCAGAACCACTTTAGGTTTCCAGAATGTCACCCTCACTGAAGCCAAGTGTGATTGTGTTGCTTCTCTGTTGTTAAACTCTAGGGGGCTCCCATTGCACCTGGAGTGGTCACCAGAGGTCCTAGTGGGATCTGGCACACTTTTGCTGGCCTGATCTCAGCTTACCCTTCATCCTCCCATTCTGCCATCTGGAACTTGTCCTACTTCTTCAGAGTATTTTGCCCCAGAGTTCATCACCTTGCACCTCAGAACGTGCTGTTTGTTCTCTGGCCCTGTAAGGCCTTCTCCCCTCCTACCCTTGCTCAGTGGATTCATTTCCTGGAGCTGCTGTAACAACGCACCACAAACTGTGCAGCTTAAAACAATAGATGTTTCTTTCCTCCCAGTTCCACAGATGGGAAGTGCAGCATCAGGGGGTTGTCAGGATGGGTTCCTTCTGGGTGCTCTAGGGGAGAATCTTTCCTTCTGCTTCCAGTCTCTGGCGGTTGCCAGCTTCTTGATCTTGTGGCCACATCACTTGAATCTCTGCTGCCAACTTCACACAGCTTTGTCAGTGGCTTTTTCTTGGGCCCCTTCCCTGTGCATTCTGTTGTACCAGACATAATTCGCATCTCAGGTGTGGCATGCCAGGGTTTACAAAGTCTCAGGAGGATGCTGCAGAGTTTTCCAGTCTCTTTGCCTGCAAAGGGGAAAAGGTGCGAAGTCATCCATTGATTCAGCAGATCCTTACAGAAAGCAAAATTTTGTGCCACAGGCTGCCAGGTCCTGAGGGTGCACTGGAAGACAAAGGATAAATCAGATGTGGTACCTGCCTTCTGAATTCACTCTCTGCAGCAGGAGAGACAGGTGGCAATTATGAAATCATACAGAAAAAAATCCTCTATATGTTTGTATGTATGTAAATGCAGAAATCTGGAACAAGAGCTGTGGAGGAAAAATTCCAGGGCACTAGTCAAGTGTTGTCTGAGGACCTGTTCCAACAGGGACCAGGAGCAGAGGGGCTTTGGGCTGGAGCGGAGGAATGGTAGCCCGTCAGGTAGAGGGAGTGGCCTATTCAAAGACCTCAGGCAGGAGGGGCAGCAGATGGCAGGAAGACCCAATGGTCTTCAGGGTGTTTAGGGGATGGGGGTGGGGGTTGGTAGGGGCTGGCTCAGCCACACCTGCTCAGTGGGGTTGGTCTATATCCTGAGGGCACTTCTGCTCACTTGTGCTTCACCTTTTGCCTTTTTTTTTCCCTTGTAGGTGAGAAAATCAAGTCAGGAAGTGCTCTTGATTCTTCTGGAACAAGATCTAATTTTCCAGCATGATATTGAAAACAAAGTGTGTCCCATTCTGCTGCAGCTCTCTGCCCCAGACAGTGATGACGAATATAAAGCAGAAGCTGTGAGCGTAAGTCTGTCCAGGGAATGACTGCCCAGCACCTGTGGGCACTGTCCCATAAGTTGACTGATACCTGACTTGAAGTATCACACGTGTTTGATTTTGGTAAGCACTGTTCTCATGAACAAGGTAGCCAGTTATTCAACCTAGGTTGGAGAAAGCTCACAGTTCAGCTCTGAGCATGTTTTGGAAGTAAGCATCCGTATAGCACCAATTGTTTTAAGAAGAAGAGGCTTGAAAAATCAGAATGATTTGGGCTTAGCAGCAGTAGCTGGCTTAGATTTCTGTTGGACAAGATGCTGAGATTTATAGGTAAATCCTTGAGCCTACTTGGACCATGGGCCTTCCTTCTCAAAGTAAGAACCCTAGTATGGTATGCGAGATAATTTTAGGTGGTACTTAGACAATTAAGAAGAAAATTTAGTAGACTTGTGTGTCTGTAGATTAGGAGAAGACTAAGATAGATATGTAAGCAAATAAGAAGAATCACTGTGAAGAATGCAGATGTGGCCAAACATTTACAGGCATTTGGGAGATGCTGTGTTAGAGTATTTGTGCTTCTGTCAGTCAGAGATGTGCAGTGAAAGGAATAGTATAAATACTCAGTGTCTTCTAGTTAATAGTCTGGTATCCTTGGGTTTGCAAGATTCTGTGTCCATTTTTAAATGATTATACAGTCGGGATTTTCTACTCGCTTCTGGAGTCCTTGTTCACAAACCAGCAGCTGATGATCCAGTGCTGGCTTTTCCTGCCCTCAGATCAAGATGTCTCCATTTGTCCTTACGCCTTTTCCTTTGTGGCTCAAGGGGAGGTCGCAGTGGGCCATCTTGTCTTCTTTAGCTGCTACTCCTCCACTGACCCATGCAAATAATGCTGTATGGCATGACCCTTTCTGTTTACCTTATAGAAGCACATAGCTCCAGGATTATTCTAGCATTTTAGGAAAAATTTGTCCCTAAAGGATGTAAAAAATCATAAGCATTAATTCTGAGTATAATAAAATATACAGAAGATAGTAGTTTTCCTGTTTGGGAAACAATGACGTTAGAGAAAGGAATTATTTTCTTTTTTTAAAAGTGCAGAAACATTATATGCCATGGAGCTAAAAAATTGTGTTACAGCATCAGAACATTTGGCAATTATTCTTCATTTATTTAAACGTTTTCTTCAACTATGTGTTAAAGGTCTGGCTTTTAAACTAATTTAATTTTTTGCATATTCCATATGTTTGTAAGATGAATCAGGCTGAAGAATAATTGATTATTAAAATTCAAATTCTCCAGGGTTCTTTTATAAATTTCAAGTTTCTCTATAAGAAATTAAATTTGTTTTGCAAAATGAACCTGGATAATATCATTTAGTTGGGGTATTTGGCAGTTGAGCAGTGAACTTTGCCAACTAGATCTTCTTTTTCATTTGGAAGTTGGTTAGGCAAGTTTCCAAGATTATGACTGACAACCGAATATCTTATCCCTAAAGACTGATAATACCATGAAAAATAATGCTAAAGGCATTTTTGCATGATTTTTATTTTGTTTTCTTTCCAAATACTCCATTCTTGTCAGCAATATTCTTCTTCTTCTTCATTTTTTTTGGTAGAAATACTTGGAAAATATTACAAGCCTTCAAAAAGCTATCTGCACAAATCACTTGCAGAACAAATTAGTTCACATAAATTGTATTTTTCATTCCAAGCGAGATGCTGGTCTCATTACTTGAATGGATAGGATTTGAACTGTAGCTGCAAGAACAGAAGTGATCTTGAACCTCCTACCCACCATGGCCCAGGCTGCGCTTGTCTGTTTCTTCCAGGTGTTCCTGCAGGACCTCTGCTTTTCCTCCCGTGGAGATCTGTTGGAAGTGGAATGTGGGATGTCTGGTCTGGCCCGTGTGTGCTTTGCTCCAGTTATTTCCCCAGACCCTGGAGGCCAAGGGGCCTTGGCGGGGTGCGGCGGGGACTTGCCCCTTGAGTACGAGAGAGCTGTGGAACATAGACAGAATCTCTTCTTTTTAGCTAGGAAGTGACGATGTGGGTAGAGTAAATGACAGTGTAGGTAGTCACTATCCGAGGAAGAGAAGGCCACATGTGTGCTTTGTAGAGCTCCCCTAGGAAGGCAGGGTTCTGATTTAGCTGGTCTGTGGGTGACACAGACACCTGTGGTCTGCAGGTGCCAGTGTGTATCCATTAGGAGATGATTCAGGGAGCTGTCAGCTAAAAGGGTGATGAGGAAAGAAGCAAATTGGGCTGGTCAGATGCCCTCTGTGTTTGGGGGCTCTCTTTGCATCCAGATGGTGTGAATATTGCTACATCTGTACTGTACATAAACACACGCTTACTCAGAGCAGTGCCATTTTGAAGGAGGTGCCTCAACTCCCAAGGAGACTGCACGTCTTCATGGACAAAATACATCTGTTCATTCGACTTTTCACTCTCATTAGAACTTACAAGTAGTTGATTCTGATGCTAACAACTCTAGTGCATATATGATTGGGAAAATCAGAGATAACCAACTGCATGTGTCCTGGGTGTTTTAGATTGAGTTATGCAGGACAGCTGCTTCCATGTTGGGACATGGGTATATGGAATCCTGGGAAGGGAAATGTACGTGCATTTTCCTTTGTGAAACCCTTCTAGAAACCCTACGCAATGTTAGTGACTCTGTCCTTGATGCAGTCAGAAGAGTTGGCTCTGTCTTCTGTCACTTAGCAGTTGAGTTGTGAAATTCTGTTTATTTCTCCCTCATGATGGTGAGCTTCTTAAACACTGGACTGTGGTATCTTTGCACTATCAGCACCCAGCACAGTGCCAGGCTCAGAGTCAGTACTAAATAAATGTTTGTTGGATGAATGAATCGGTAAAAACGGCAAGAACCGTATCTTGTAATTATATCTAGACAGGATAAACAGGCCACTGGAGACCAATTATAATTCCTCTTGCTTACAGGGACGCCATTAGCATTCTGAGATTATAACTCATTGTCAGAAGCCTATTTTTCTCTCTCAACACGTTTTCACATTAAGGCTTCCTCATTTTTTGTCATTTCTATTTTTAAGCTCATTTTTATTTGTGCGTGTATTTAAGAAGAATGTTGTGGTTATGTGCTACAAAGAATAGTTAGCTCCAAGCAACTAAGTGAAGATCGTCATTCCATACAAGTGGTTCCCAGGGCCACGGGAATATAATTTCTTGTCACTTGGTGTGCTGACTTCTAATGACTCTGGATTTGTTTTATGCTGTATAGTAATAAGGTCATGCGGGTGTGGCAGATGGAGAGGGGTGGATGGAGATACTGGGAGTGCTTTAGTTGCCCATCACACTGGATACGGAAGCCTCATATCCTCATTTATTGTAGCTGTCACTTTGTACAACTCTGCTAAGCATCACATCAGAAATATGTGTCCTCTGTGTTCTGAGGACACAAACCTTTTCCTTATTTGTGTTACGGGCTAGTTTCCCCTTTGCCCCACCCCCATTGGTTTTCTTTCCCCTCTTCCTGTATGCAAATTCCAAATAGAATGATGGGTAGATTACTAACCCAGACCATTTTCTACTGTAAATAGGCAGTGCTGTGTATATAGTGAGAATAACAGACTTTAGAGACAGGAAGTCCTTCTTCCCCCCATCCCTGCCTTTCTCCATCCCTTTCTTGTCTCCCCACTTCGGTCCTTCACTCCCCTGCCTTACCCTCTTCCTTCCTCATTTTGTTCTTTCCTCCCTTTCTTTTTACTTTGTTGGGGGAATGGAAGAATTATTTCACAATTTTGTTTTTGGCAACTTTTCATCTTGTTTCAATTTCAGACTTGCAAGAAAGTTGCAAGAATAGTATTCTGAATTCCCCTATACCTCTCTCAGGCTTCTTTAGTAATTTATATTTAGTTTCATTTGTTTTATCTTTTTTTTCTCTTCCCCTCCATCTCTCCCTCTCTCTCCACACATACAGACAGATGCATATTTACTGTATTTATTATTTTCTGAGTCATTTGAGACTCAGTTGGAGGCATTGTCCCTCTTTACATCTAAATACTTCATTTTTTAATTTAATTTTTTATTAAGGACAAACAGCAGCATTCATCTAAATACTTCAATGTATATATCCTAAAAGGAAGGAAATTCTCTTATATAACGATAGTACAATGATCAAAATAGGAAATTTCACACCGATACAGTGCTAATTTTATAGCCACAGTTCCTATGCAAACATCATCTTTGTTCAGGACCCAGTCCAGGGTCCCTTGCTGCACTGAGCTGTCCTATCTCTTTGGTTTCCATTAATCTGGAACAATTCCCACGTCTGTCTTTGAATTTTGTAACACTTACATATTGTAAGAGTACTGGCCACGTTTTTTTTGCAGAGTGTCTCCCTGTTTGGCTTTGCCTGATGTTTCCTTGTGATTGGATTCAGACTCTGTCTTTCTGGCAGGAGTATCACAGGAGTGATGTATTCCCAGTGTGTCATGGCAGGAGGCACAAGACTTCAGCTTGTCCTAATACTGGTGATGTTAACTTTGATGACCTAATAGATAGACGTGGTATCTGCCAGGTTTCTCCGGTGTGTTCTTTTTTCTCTCGGGAAGTAATGAGGAGAGTTACCTTGAGACGATTTAAGTATGCTTTTCTCCGTCAGACCTTTACCCACTAGCGTTGCTGTCTGTTGATGATTCTGGTTGGCATTGTGCTATGCTCCCTTCTCCATAATTTGCCACCATTTTCTTGAGGATTTTCATATCTATATTCAAGAGAACAATTGTCTTTTCCTATTATGTCTTTGTTGGATTTTAGAATCAGAATTATTCTGGCTTCAAAAAATGAGTTGGGAAGTATTCCCTCCTTTTCTATTTTCTGAAAGGTTTTGTTTAAGATTGGAGTTATTTTTTTCCTTAAACATTTGTTAGAATTCTCCAGTAGAACCTCTGGTCCTAGAGTTTTCTTTGCGAGATGGTTTTTCATAACAGATTTAATTCGGATATGGTGCTGTTCAGATTTCTTCATCTGTGTAACTGGGTAAGTT